GTTTTTTCTCACGAAGTACCCTCCCTCAACACATACCCAAGGCGGTGTCGCAATAATTGTGCAGCGTCGAAAGCCTCTGATCAGTCCTGTCTCCGAGGATTGTACTGCTCGTCGTGTTTTTCGCCATGGCAACAACAGGTATTTGGCGTGCTCACCAACGCCTGTATGAACTATTTCTGCCCGCGGTTACCCCCCGATAGCGCTTTCGATCATAACTAAATCCAAAGGGTGAACACAAGACGGGGGTGGTGTTCATTCCCAACCCAAAATTAGTTCCCATTTTTCTCGCAACCTTGTTTCTAAGCAAACTGTATGCTGCCGCAGCCCGTGGTTCCGTGGAGCGTACGGTTGCCCTGCTTTCTCGAGGGTCGGTGGACATCGACGGAAGCTACGGTGATGCGGGCCGGACCCCTCTTATGGTGGCCTCCACCATGGGATACTTGCGGGTCGAAAGGGTTCTTTTGAGACTGGGAGCCGGTGTGTCGGTGGCGGACAATGATGGTGCGACTGCTCTACACCTGTCGGTTTTCAACCAACACCTGGCCGTCAGCAAGGCTCTGATTAAGGCCGGTGCGGAGGTTGAAGCGCGTTGTGTAGACGGTACGCCGCTTCACGTTGCCGCGGCGAAATGATTCCACGAAGGAATGGTGGTGCTGATCCACGCGGGTGCGAATGTCGACAGTGAGCAAGAAAGCGGAGCGACACCCCTGTACACTTCGGCACGACAAGGGAGGCTTGAAGATGTCAAAGTTCTCGTTGGGACGAAGGCGAATCCGCTAGTGCCTGCATACGACGGCGAAAGCCTGCCGCTCGACGCGGCGGCTGAAAACGGATACCTGGGAGTTGTCCGCGAACTAGTACAGCGATTCGGCATCGATGGTTGTTCTCGTGACGGTGGCGCGCAAGCTCTCGTGGAGGCCGCTTCTCAGAATCAAACAGATATCGTCACTTTTTTGTTTGACAACGGCGTGGTGGACGCGGAGGGTATTGCACTGTGTGCTGCCGTGGAAGGCCGGCGTGAGGAGTTTGTCAAGCTCCTTCTACGGAGACAGGGATGCAATGCGAACACCAGTACGCGTGCATACGCCAACATGGCCCACGACAGCACCTTGCCCATGTACTCGAACCAACTTTTCCAAGACACCCCTCTTGTGAGCGCATTTGAGCTGGGGGGCTTCTATTCTCCCAGAATCACGCGCTTGCTCCTGGACGCCGGCGCGGACGTGGCATCGCGCGTTCGGTATGAAGGAATCGAAGGAGATTGTGTAATGCACGATACGCCCTTGGCGATCGCCGAATCGATTCTACCTTTGTGGGAGACCTATGGAGAAACTTCGGAAGACGTGGAGTTCGGGCTCAAGGGTGTCATACGCTTGCTGAAGCAGGTGGATGCAGTTCACGCTATCTCCTGGTGTTGGCCGAACGCGCTCGAGAAATCAACGCCGATCGTTCGCATGCTGCCGGGTCTGAAGCGCAGGGCGACGAAGCCTCGTGTGGTCTTGGCGGCCCTGTCTCGGTGCGTGATGTTGTTAATATTCGTCGCGTGTCATTACGGGAAATCGTTTAAAACAACCAGATGAAAAACGTCTCACGACGTCTTGTTATCCACAGGTACAACGACAAGCAAGACGGACCGCTCCCGAGGTACTCTCCGGATCAGAATGGGGGAGCGCGGTGACCGTAGCTGCTGTACGTGGGCAGGGGTGCAAACGAAACAGGCTGCCGCGGGCGAAGCTACTGCTGCTCGGTCGTATTGGCGAAAAGTTCCGCGTCAGTGCATCATACTCTCTTGGGTGTTTCGCCATTGGCCAAGCTTGCTCTGTGTGCTTAATGGTTAGGATTAGTGGGACATGGTAGGTAGAATGTACATCCGCGAGCAGCTCCAAGACGAAGTGGGCATCGTGCTTACAACCCTTGAGGCGATCCGCTTCCGGAGCGATACGGAGAAGATTCAGGACCGTATGTTTAAGAGAATAGGGGGCACCACTGCTGCTTTGGGTGGCGGTGAGGTCGTCGAACCGACTGAAATCGCACTGGTTGTCGTCGATGGGTGTCACACGTTGACCCTTGGTACCGGCGCTCGTTCGTCGATGCGCGCGCGACAAAGCCTCTCCCAAATTTTGAAACATCTGGTTTGCTGAACGACAGGGAAAACATCGACACGCGCTCGCCAAAACAAAATATACGCGTACGTTGCTGTTTGATTTGAACCTCCCGCCCTCCATTTATGAAAGAACTGGTTTTCTTGTCAAACAGATGCTGCGCTGCCGACATATACTCCTTCTTCTCCCATTTAGAAATTGCGGGGCTTATTCAACGACACAAGCGTGCGAAACACATCGCTGATTGATCGTTCCTCTCTGTCGCTCCAATTTTGAAAAAACTGGTTCGCTGGACGACAGGAGGAGCGGCGCGCGCGCCAAACAAAATACATATTTCAGCACAATCCCCGCTCTTTGCCTCGTTCTTTTTTGAGCTATCCAAGAAAAGGCTAGGGAGACCAAACGGAAGGGCATCGCTGGCAGGCTCGACACTACTCTAAAGGTAATGAAAATGTGTCGCCATTGTTCACAGAAAACTCTAGACATCAAACAAGTTGACAACAGGCATAACCAAGAGTCGGCTCTCTCCCCAACATGCCATCAACTCTGAGCAAAGCCAGCGGCTCCGTCGAGCGTCCGATTGCTACGACCGACATCGACCGACGCTGTGGTGATACGAACCAGACACCGCTGATGGTGGCCTCCGTCATTGGTTCCTCGCGCGTTGTCAGAGACCTCCTGAGGCAGGGTGCCAGCGTCTCGCTAGCGGACAGCGACGGTTATCCTGCTCTGCACCACGCGGTGTATCACAAACACCTGGCCGTGAGCAAAGACCTGATCGAGGCGGGAGCGGACCTTGACGCGAGGCCCGGTGGCATAGATACACCACTTCACGTGGCCGCGACGAAAGGGTTTTGCCAAGAAATGGTGGTGCTGATCGACGCAGGCGCAAATGTGGACAGCAGGCTCGACGACGGAGCAACACCGCTGTTCGGAGCGGCAAAGGACGGGCGGCTCGAAGCGGTCAGGGTTCTCCTTCGGGCGAACGCGAATCCGCTCTTGTCTGCGGACGGCAGTCTCCCGCTATATATGGCGGTTTACAATGGACACCTGAAAGTGGTCCGCGAACTTGTGTATTGGTACGGAACCGACGGCTGTACAAGCGACGGCGGCGCACTGGCTCTCGCAACGGCCGCTTCTCGCAATCAGGTGGACATCGTCACCTTCCTGTGCGATGCCGGTGTGGTTGATACGGAGGGCGTGGCCCTGTGTGCCGCCATAGAGGGATGTAGCGAGGCGTGCGTCTACCTTCTGCTGCGGAGACAGGGGAGAAAGGCCAGCACAGATTCGCGTGCCTACGTCAATATGGACCACGGTAGTCTCCCGGAAACCTATGACGAATTCGTGTTCCAAGAACCACCGCTGGTGAGCACATTCAATCTGGGAAGCTTTCATGCTCCCAGATTCGCGCGCTTGCTACTTGAAGCCGGGGCGGACGCGACATCGGGCGTTCGGTTCCCGTGCGACAGTGATGAGGGGGAAGAAGACGAAGGTTTCATCGGCACGCCCCTCGACTTGGCTACATCGTACTTTCGCAGATTCAGTCCCATGAGAGTCCACCGCGAGATGGTGCGGGGGCTGAAGGGTGTCATCCGCTTGCTGCGACAGGAGGAGGCAGTTCACTCGGTGTCCTGGACGTGGCCAATCGACACAGGTCGTTCTGTAGAGCGTGCGTCCCGGAAGAAATCAACATCGATCGCTCGCATGCTCCCGCTTCTGAAGCGGAGGGCGGCGAAGCCTCGTGTGCTTTTGGCAGCCATGTCTAGGTGCGTGGTGTTGTTTGATTCTTCAGGCGTGTGTCGCGGCCAATAAAGAATTTGAAATAAGTTGGCTGATGCTATTACCCGCCCCGCTTGTTTTCGACAGGTACAACGAGAAGCAGGACGGAACTTTCCTCGGGTACCTCCCCGATAAAAACGCGGGAGTCTAACACCAGGATGGAACCCAGAGAAGAGTTTCGCACGGCGGAGTGCTCCGCGTTTTTCTAGGGTGTTTCGCTGTTTACCGGGCATGCTCTGTGCGACGTCGATACAGGGGTTTGTGGGGTGTTTCAATTCTTAGGGGAAAAGGAAGGGGTTCGATCCCATGGTTTTGTCGGAGGTGCTCAAGCGGCCTGCGGAAAAAAGAGCGCCGGTCTAGAAACGTAGGGAGTTGGAAAACGTGTGTAAGTGTCGCACAAAAACCAAAACCGCCCTCAAACGCTTTGGCACTCATCGAACCTTCAACCGGACGCACCGGGACCTACTCAGTGCTCCAAACGTTGCCGGTTCTATCAAACGTACTCTCGAGCTCGAGAGAGTGCGAGCTTCTAGTGCTAAGAAAAAGCGCAAGCAAAGGCACCGGCAGCCGCCACCGGAACAACAGCAGAAGCCTCGAGCACAACAACAGGAGCCCGATCAACGCGTGGAGGAGATCGAGACCAAGCCATCTATCACAGACAGCTCTTCGTTCCGCGAACATTGGCGCGAAAGTACGCTAACTGTCGCTACTGCTGTAGCCGACGCGTCACACGTAGAAACGGGGCACGGCTTTGCTACCCCTCAGTGTCAAGCGCCAGTGCGTGGGGATGAAAATCCCTTTGCGCAGATTGAGCATTCGTGGGTGTTAGGCTAGGTAGCCAGGCAGGGCAGGCGGGAAAAATGATGAAGGATCTGTACACCGTTCAGTGTGGCGCGGTTGCGGGGGGCGTGTGCTACGCAAGTGACCGTGGTATCATAGAGTAGGCGATACGTGAGGTAGCTCAGACTTGATCTGCTTTTTGCTTTTGGGTTTTTGTCGTGCTCTTGCGTAAGTGGTATATGGTGCCACGCGGGCAAACATGAAAACACTTGTATTTTTTTGCGTGGCATGGTTGAGAAGGTGGTAAACACGGCCTCCTTTGGAGCAATCCGTCGGCGTACGAATCGTCTCCATCATCGAGGAACCGCACAGTCATAATTGGCTCGTAGTGTGGAGTCTTCTTCATTTGCAGTACTCATCTAAATGGGGGGGGGGAATCGGCGAGGCGTGATCCTATCTATTGGCACTCTTTGAAGAAAGAACGGAGGAAAGGTGCTCCTTGCGCACGCGACTCGTCGTCGGACACATAATAGCTATTCGAAGTTCGGTAATCCACGTGGTTTAAAGTAGTTGCGATATTTTGTTTTTTTAGGTTGTGTTAACATTTTTTATAAATTTTCTATATGCTGTACTCTCTCCCTCTTCGCGAATTAAGAAGTACTGGTTGCTGGAACGAGAGCGCGATCGGTGTTCTTCGCGTGGGCAGCACATCGTCGGACATATCATGGCTGTTTCGATCATCGTATAAGAAGCTGTTGCGGAATAGAGGGTTGCTGCTTCCTTGCGCGCGCGACCAAGCGTCTAGCACATCATGGCTGCTCGGACTTTGCTTTCTCCCTGTCCCCGATTTGATAAATGCAAGTCGGTGAAACGAGAGCGCTATCGGTGCTTCTCGCGTGCGCGACAAACCGTTTGACACATCATGGCTATTTGAACTTTGGTTTCTGCCTGTCGCAGATTTGTAAATTGCTGGTTTGTGGAACGAACGGAGAATCGGTGCTCTTGCGCGCGAGACAAAAGCGTGGGATGTCATGGTGTTCGAAATTTGCTCTCTCCCTCTCTGACATATGAACAGCTGGTTTGAAGAACGAGAGAGGGATCGGTGCTTCTTGCGTGCGCGACCAAGCGTCGGACACACCATGGATGCTCGAACTTCGCCCTCTGCCCCTCCCGGACTACAAAAAATGCTCGTTTGTGGAACAAGGGAACGATTGGTGCTTCTTGCGAGCGCCACAAATCGTCGGACACATCATGGCTATTCGAACTTTGCTCTTGGCCTCTTCTGGATTTGAAAATCGCTGGTGCGTGAAACGAGAGAGAGATCGGTGTTCTTGTGTGCGCGACCAAGCGTCAGACAAAGGCTATTTGAACTGTGCTCTTCCCCTCACCCCGACGTTGTAAAATTGGTTGGTGGAACGAGAGCACGATCGGCGATCCTCACCTGCGCGACCAAGCGTGGGACGTCACAGTGTTCAACTTCGCTCTCTCCCTCTCCCCGATAAAAAAAAGTTGGTTTGGAAACGAGAGCAGGACCGATGCTCCCTCACGTGCGCGACATACCATTTGACACGTCATGGCTACTTGAACTTTGGTTTCTGCCTCTCCCAGATTTGAAAATTGCTGGTTTATGGAGCGAACGGAACATTGGCGCTCCTTGGGCGCCCGACCAAGCGTCGGACACATCACAGCGTTCGAACTTTGCTCTCTCCCTCTCCACGGTGTCAAAAATGCTGTTTGAAGAACGAAAGGAGGATCGGTGCGTGCGACCAAGCGTCGGGCACATCATGGCTGTTGGAAATTTGCTCTCTCTTTCGTGCATCTACAGAATGTTGGTTTGATGGGAGGGAGAGGGATCGGTGCTCCTTGACCGCGCGACACGCCGTCCGACACATGATGGCTGTTCGAACTTTGCTCTCTTCCTCTCCCTCCCCGATACATGAAAAGCTTGTTTGAAGAACGAGGGCAAGATCGGTGCTGGTTGCGTGCGGGCGACAAATCGTGCGACATTAGTCGGACGAAGAGTCGCTGTTCCAGCCTACAACTTTTTGCCGAAATGAACATGAAAGAGGTTCTGCAAGTACGACAAATCTACCCAACACTCATAGCTGTTTGAACCTCCCTCTCCCTTCCATTGCGAAAGACTGGACTGTCGACCTATAAGAGATGCAGCGCGGATCCAACGATGTGCGGGTGTAACGAATGAACATAAAAGAAACAGCCGCAGGTTTGCTCTCTCTGGTCTCTCCAGGTAACAATTGTTGCGATGTGTGACAGGACGCCTCCCGAACGATTCTCACCTTCTGCAACACCAGTCCACACCACTCTCGCTCCTTCACCCACTCGCGCAAGCTTTCTCCTCTCGTGCCTTCTGTCTCCACCCTCTCTCTTCCCCTTTCCCTCTCTCGGCGCTCTACTGCTTCCAGGACATGCGTCGGCGATGTCGGCGTCACCGTGTGTAATTCCGCCGCGTTTTGTATGAAAACGCCTAGTGTACATCCTCTCTCTGCTTCCTCCCATCTAGCGGCACACATCCACGGCGAAGGGAAGGTATGCGACCGGGCGTGAAGCGACGGCAGCTGTGAATACACCCTCTCTGTGTGGTACACTGGTGCGTGCGTGCGCGTGTGTATGTGTTTGGCCTAGTCGCTTACAAAGATGCTGCGGGATAAACATAGCGAAGACGAAAAGCACAAATAAAGCATGAGTGGGGTGCGGATCAAGCTCGTGTGTCTCTTGTCCCGCTGCTCTTTGCTGCTGCTACTGCTCGATGCTGCTGATTTATGTCACAGGATGTCTTAGATTCAGTATGTAGGAGGTAAAATGCAAAAAGGTGGGTTGGAGGTGTGCCGTTGCCCTGCTCTTGCAACCCATCTCGATTCTCCGTGCGAAGCGCAAGGGCAAAGGGCAAAGGGAACCCAAACTGATCTCGAGTACACTTCACGTGAAAAGGCATGCTCTAGCGGACCTCTCCGTACCTGTTTAGTGCATCACAGCGTTCCCGTGTTGGTGGGCATCCGAAACACGTATTTCGAACTGCTGTGGCTCTGTCTTTTTTTTGTTGTTGTGAGCGTATTATTCATGGAGAGTGTAGGAGTCGTGAGCAAAAAAGGGACCGAGTAACCCTTGTCAAGTCTGAATGTAAAGTAGTCATCGGCTTCATATGGTTGGGTCATGTTGTAGCCGCGGCTTGCCCATTCCACTTTTATCCCACTGAGATTCAACTCTCTCTCTCTCTTGTATCTCTCCCATTCTCTCGCCCTTTTCGCTCTTTCATTCGCAACAAGTACGCCAGCGCGACCTGTCCCTTTTTCTTCGGCGTGACCTGTCCGCTGCTGATTGGCAGAGATCCGTGTGCTTCTCAGGCGGGGGAGATCTTGTCTGATGAAAGCAGAGCAGGTGAAGCCTCCCCTGTTCCGGTGTGGTATTATATTCCAGCGCGGCTTTTGTGGCACGATATGCAACTTTATTTCGTTGCCGCTGTACCCAATGCGTCGCACTATGTTGACCTGCTTCAATGGTATCGTTGCTCTACACATACTCCCATGATTCCTCTATCCAACCGTGTTTTCGTGCAAACTCCAGACTGATACCGTTTCTTTGAACCCTGCACCACCCAAAGCGACAATCGGACTACAAAAGCTTTTACTCTTGCAGCTCTCGTGTCTTGAACGGAGACAAATCCTCATTGTCCACGGAGCGGTAATCCATGGTGGTGTGCGCGTGTTGGAGTAGTAGAATGACCGTGAAGCAAGGTGCCTCTTAAAGCTGAGTGTGAGACGGTAGGGCCAAGAGATGCGTAAATGGTCGCGTGTTGCCTCCGCTCGCTTGTTTCAATGTCATTTGAGGCACTTTTTCCCGCCCCTTTTCCCACTCCGTCTCTCTCTCTCTGTCTCTCTCTCGATATTTGTCTCGCACACGCACACACACCGACATCACAGTGCTTTGGAAACCGCCATGTGCGACTACCGGTGCCCTTTCTTGGCGCAACTGGATTGCGCTTGAAACTGTGGTGATGAACCCGCTGCTGATTGGCGGGTATATCGTTCTTTTGGCGCGGGGAACAAGAAGGTCTTGTGTTGGTGGGAAACACAGCAGGTAATGTTATGTGGTTTCATATTTTCCCGCAGCACGTTTGTGGCACGGTCCACCCCTATATCTTGCTCGTTGGGAATATATGGGGCCTGATGTCTCCGTCTAAAGCACATGCGTCCCCAGTATTTGACCATTTTCTCACCACCATCCATTCCGAGAAAGAGTGCTGACTTGCTGCGTCTGCTGACCTGCTGTGCGACCAAACTACCCCTGACCCCAGAGAGTAGAGAGGAAAAAGAGGGAACAAGCACGCGTAGGAGAGAATGCACAAGCAAAGAA